TGCTCCTGGTATCAATGGGTCTTGCCGTTACTTTTTTTTTAATTTTTCGTTATTTATCTTTTAGTTTCTGCTTTTGCCGACTTGAGAGAAGTCAAGCGCATGCTGTCCATCGTCTAGAGAGTCTACTAGCTAACCGAACGGCCAAATGAACAATTAGTTGCAACTTGCAAGCGGGAAGAGTGACAATTGAAGTTGAAAGGTTTAATCCCAAGTTTACACTTTGAGATCATCTAGTTGCTTTTTCATTCTACTCCAACCAATGGAGTAAGGCCTAACAATTAGTGTAAGAAACTTGCAATGTTTTTGTCTTTTAATATACTACTAATTGAGTATTGACTATACCAGCAAATCTTTTAGAGTGAGTGTATATATATATATATATATATATATATATAATGCTTATAAAACGTTCATTTCATAAACCTCATATGAAGTTTTATTACAACTTCACCATTTCATAAACCTCATATGAAGTTTTATTACAACTTCACCCTAGCTAGCATAACATTCCATGAACTTACGAGCTTGTGAAGCTTACTTCACTCTATCATATACGTATGACCAATACTAGCATATATATATATATATATATATAATGCTTATAAAACGTTCATTTCATAAACCTCATATGAAGTTTTATTACAACTTCACCATTTCATAAACCTCATATGAAGTTTTATTACAACTTCACCCTAGCTAGCATAACATTCCATGAACTTACGAGCTTGTGAAGCTTACTTCACTCTATCATATACGTATGACCAATACTAGCATATATATATATATATATATATATAATGCTTATAAAACGTTCATTTCATAAACCTCATATGAAGTTTTATTACAACTTCACCATTTCATAAACCTCATATGAAGTTTTATTACAACTTCACCCTAGCTAGCATAACATTCCATGAACTTACGAGCTTGTGAAGCTTACTTCACTCTATCATATACGTATGACCAATACTAGCATATATATATATATATATATATGTAAGTTCAAGGGCAGAAGACGACCCTGTAATTAGTCCCACCAGGGCAAGTAAATGTGCTGGTTTGATCATCTTTAGGGTAACTATAAGCATCATGGCACCTTGTCTTGAAGAACCTGGAGAAATCCGTAGAACCACAGGTCCCAGAATTGCAACAGTATTCATTAGTCTTGAAAACGGTGCAAGGATTATTGCACCCTCCTGGGGCTTTCAACTCATTAGGGCACTGTCCTATGATATCTGCTGTGCATCTAATGCCCCTGGTGCACCCCCCAGAAGTTGGACTAAATTCCATAGGAACGTTAAATCCATCAACTAGGGAGATATCGAAGAAATCCAAGTTATTGAACTGGTTTAGTGCGAATTCAGCCAGGGTGTTTGGGGGTGTACCATAAGCTTGGCACTGCAGGAGCCCCCCACAGTCACCGGTTTGGCATCGGCCACGCCCGGCTCCATCAAATTGGCAATTGGTTCGAGCCCAGATACGAGCTCCTGTGGTACCAGAGTTTACATTTAGGTTTCAGACATCACCGCTGTTCAGCCGCCTGCCACCACCAGCGGGCACGGCAGCTGCCCAGACCGTATAGGGGCAGTCGTTTCGAATGTTAAAAGTGACAGCATTGGCCACCGTGAAGCAGAGAGCTGCAATTAAACAAAAGGAAAACAGAGAGAGGCTTTTCAATTTCATTTTTGCAACAAAGGCGAAGAAGTACTTTTGGAATTTTGATAATTAGCTTGTATTGTATCGAGTTTGTGAGGGAAACGGTGGATTTATAAAGAGTAGGGGCTTCCGGCTGGTGCGTCTGGAAGTGTATCTGTGAATGTAAATCAAATATTTGCCGAAAATTCGTGCCTTGGAAATAACATACTTTTTTCCTACTTGAGACGGCGTTGTTGTAATTAATTATTCGGTAGGTCTAGGAATGGCCAATATCTATGTAGAATTTAAGTAGAGCATCTAGAGAAGCAAAAAATTTACATCCTTAACTTAAAAAATATCTATCACGCAATTGGCGAGGAAATGTAAAAATCCATATTGGAGGAAACGTATTGGATTTTGTTTCGTGGGATATGATTTACCAATCGGCAACTACAAGCCTAGGCGGGTAGGCAAGAAGACGTTCGATTAATATCCATAAATCTATCTATAATATTAATTTTATAAAAAATTGAAGAAAGTGGAGTGTCTACGTGACAACCATCTCCTCCACCCTTTTAATTTTTTAATTTTTAATTTTATTTTTTATTAAATAAATTTTATAAAAGTTTTTAATAAAAATAAAAATAATGAAATAATTTATATTTAATTGATTTTGATTTGCATCAATCTAATATAAATATATTTTTTAAAACATTAAAATTTAATATATTTATTTTCAAGCTTTTGATTTAATGACTGTTTGAGAGAATATTTTTTTTTACATTTCTTTTTATTTATACTAAAATTTTATTCTCTTGATGTAATAAAAAATATATATATATTTAGAAAGTTAGTAATTTTTCTTTTGTTTATCTTGGGTCAAAATTAATCAAAGTTAGTGTCACGTTCAAGTATATTATTCAGTGGAATAAATACCGCCAAAGATTAATGAATGAAGGGGATAGAATTATTTTGGATCACAAACCCTTTTGAGTAGAGTACCAATCATATGAATTTAAATTCTTTTTTTTTTTACAATTATTTAATCACAAATTAAAAAGGATCCACCAAAAACTTTAAGAATTAACTTAAAAAATCACATAATGAGAAAGAGGAAAAGTAAATGTTTAATTTTGGAAGAACCTTTATTTTGTGGAATGCAATTTATGAGTAAGGTAGACGAAGACCAGACCTGAGATTCATGAAGTCAAAATATCTAACAATTTCTATTAGTATTTAAAAAATAAACACAAAAACCCAAAAGAAGAAGAAATTTCTTAGAAAGAGAGATCATTGGCTGTAGACTATAGTTTTGTAAGAATATAAGAAATAAAAATTTTCATATTTTCTCTCCAACCTTGTTCTATTGCAGCAAAAATAAAAACTTTGCAGCCAGTTAGGTCTTTCTTTCCATTGGGATCAAAGTGACAATTTGGAATCATAGTCTCATTTTTGTTGCAAGTGATCAAATTAATTAAGGATGAATATCTTCAAAAATTAAGATAATTGAAGGATAGATTACAATATAAAGCATTATTTGACTCGTACATAAACAATATTATCAAACAAATACGGATTATTGATACAAGAAAAAAATTATAATCCTGCTGCCACATACAATCAGTCTAAATTAACCAACAAAATAAATTAATCTACGAGTTCGCTGCTCTCCTATTGGTACATATATAGCAGTCCTCAGAAGCCAAAACATCTTCAAGGACAGAATACTACTTTGCAGTCAGTCCCATCAGAAAAAATAAATGTGCTTGTTTCATCATCTTTACGGTAACTGTGAGCATCGGGGCACCTTTCCTTGAAAAAACTAGGGTAAGTTGTAGGACCACAGCCCCCAGAATTGCAACAATATTGATCAGTTTTGAACACAGTAGAAGGACTATTGCACCTACCGGGGGCCTGAAGTTCATTAGGGCACTGCCTACAAGTTCTGAAGTGCATTGGATTCCTCTAGTGCACCCACAAGAAGTTGGACAAAATTCCCTGGGAACATTGAATCCATCGACAAGAGAGATATCAAAGAAATCTATGCCACTGAACTGCTTTAATTTCCATTCAACCAGGGTGTGTTTGGGGTAAACCATAGCCTTGGCATCGGAGGAGCCCTCCACAGTCACCTGTCTGGCATTTGCCTTGTCCTGCTTCATCAAATTCACAATTGGTTCGAGCCCAGATACGGGCTCCTCCTGTTCCAGAGCTTACATTGAGGTCCCAGGCTTGGCCATGGTCCAGCTACCTGCCGCCTCCAGGTTCTGCTGTAGCCCAATTAAACCGTCTATGGGCAGTTGTGTCTGATATTGAAAGTGGCTGCATGGGATAATGTGATGTAGAGAGCTGCAACGCAAACAAAACAATATATTGAAATGTTTTTCAAGCTCATCATATTCGGAAAGCAAGAGATATAGGCTCAAGTTTTGATTTTCAGATCTAAATTGTATGGAATTTATGACAAACAATTATTAGATTTATAAAGTTTTCGCAAAAGAAAATTGTCAGATATTAGATGTTTAGATTAGTTGGTATGATTCATGAGTTTCTATTAACGCTTGAAGGTTATGGATTTTAAAGAATTTATATACTTAATATCTTCTTGTATGAAGGGTCAAGAATCATCAGGATAGACTAAGAAAATTAGAAAAAAAAAAAAAAACTTAACAATAAAAAAATAAAGGGAAGTTTCAATTTTCGGATTTTGTGGAACAGTGATCTTAAGTTTAGGGGAGGTCTCAAAATTTTTTAACAAGAGGGCCTGTTTCACAATTTTCACGTCATTGTCTTGAACTTGCACAAGGAACGGATTAACAGAAAAGAGAAAGAATAATTGCAATTGGATTCATAAAAAAGAGTATCCCTGCCATGGTTGTAGAATTTATCATTGGGTTACGAATCAGCTTGGTTTGCTCCACCATTCATTTGTACACATCATAACTTTCCAAGTCCTCAAGCATTAGCGGGTGCTTTCCGTGGGTTCAAGAATACTAAATTTAGGTTTAATAACCATACCAAAACAAATTGCCCATTAAACCAAATAATAACAAATTTTGGGCTTCAAGTGCAAACTGGCCCAAAAATTGAAAGGTGCATAAAATTTTAGGCTGGACTTAAGTTGAACGGGCTTGGCTCAATGAAATCTGAGAGGGCATTCTTGGAAAAGCACTACAACGGTTTCCGTTTATAAACGTGGAAAGAAACCAAAACGCCGTTAATGAATCATTTGTCAAACTTCCAACGCAAGCTTCTCTATCTTTCGCTTCTCGACGAAGACAGGACCGCAATTAAAGTCCGTTACAAGAAGCTCTTGAAAAACACATTCTTAGTTTCCCGCTACTTTACTTTCATTTCATCAATCTCCCCGAAAAAAGAAAAGGCAAAAAAAAAAAAAAGGAAAAAAGAGAGCTAAATTTCTGCCAAAATCTTTATATTTACCGTTACCCAACAACATATTCTTCTGTGCATAAGAAAAATCGTAGCTTTTTTATTTTTTTTTATTTGGTTGTTTTGGCGGTTAAAGCTATCCGCGGCAAAGTTTCAGGTAAGGCTTTGAGTTCTCGAAAACCCTAGAAGTTTTTTTTTTTTTTTTGTGTATTTGAGGTTTCTTTGTTTAATTCTGTTTTAAGGTAACTTCGGGTTCCTTTAGTTTGATTTTTATTTTGTTATGTAGAGTTCTTGCTGCTCTGTTTGGCTGGCTAGGAAACCGTAGGAAAACATGGGAATTTTTGTTGACTGCCACGGAACTGAATATGTGTTTTCAAAACTTTTTGATGTATGAAGATGTTTTCTTGTTCTTTATTCATTTTAATCGTGCTTGTAGATGGCTCAACAACTCATTATCTTTTCTTTTACTCTGTTTTCTGTGAAACAAACAGAAAGTTCACAATTTTTCCTTTTTTTTTTTTTAGGTTTTAGGGTAACGTTTATTGTGATAGTCAAAACATAAATTTGGTGTTGTGAGTTTTCATGTGCCCTGAGGACCATTTTTTTGTTGCTAATTAAATGCATAAAGGTGAAGAGGAAATTTGATGCTGAAGCCTTGATTAAATGGCAACTTGTGTGTGTTTCTTTTAGGGCTTTTGGACCTGTTAAAACTTGACAGTTGAGAAGATCATGGTGGAAGTGAAGAAGGAGAAAGAAGAGTACCATGAATGTTTAGCAGAAGAAGTTAGATCTGCTTCACCTTCTTCATGTTTTGACAGCAGTTTTGATACTACTACAAGATCAGCTTCTCTTCAAGGGTGTGTATCTCTGGATTCAATTTCTTGATATAAATTGGAAATGTCCCATGAAATTGCTTGTGTAAAACGTTATTAACCATTTTGGAAAAACTTGTCATTTTCATGTAAGCTTGTATTGCTGTTGCAGAAGGGTAACTGGTCCAAGTAGACATTCCAGGAAAGGAGGGTGGACCGAGGAAGAGGTTAGTCACTAGAGGCTGATATTTTGGTTGTGTTTTATAGTTACATGCTTAATGACTTAGCTAGAAGGCTAGAACTTGCTACAGCTTTTGAACACTTGGAACTCAATCAAAGACCCTAAAATTCTCCGTTGCGCGGAACAATTTCCTTTCAAAATAAGAAAATTAACTAACATTAGGGAATAAAATTATAGGATGAACACACTCATATGTTTAGTTGGTTTAAGGCTTTATCTCTTTCTTGTGAGCCAGATTTTGTACTCATGGATGTTTCCTAACATTTCTAAGCGCATGATTATGGATGCACAGGATAATCTTTTGACTGAAGCTGTGAAAAAATGCAATGCAAGGAATTGGAAGAAAATAGGTGGGTATGAAATTTTCACCTAATGCTTTAATTTCTGTACTTGTGATTTTATAGTTACTCATATGAATTATGAAACCCCTCTTTTATTTTATTTTTTTTATTTTCCTGTCTATGGAGGATTCTCTTAAGTCCCAGCTTTGACAGGCTTGAAAAATGTTTTTACAGCTACTTTAGAGCTTTGACTTTCCCAGTTTTACAATTGCTGTTTAAGTTAATCGTCAATCTTGAGAGCTTACTGTTCACTTCATTGTTTCTCACTAATTGCCATTGGCTACACTGGTGAACATATCTTAATTTGGTTACTAATTTTCTGTTCTGAATAATTTTCTGAAGTGTAAGAGTGCAGAATTCTTAAGATGATGATTTTCTCTATGTGTTCTTTAGTGCTTGGAAAGAAGTTAAATGCAGATTTTTTACATTGCAATTCTGAAATTTAGTTAATGTTTATTGTGTACAGCTGAATTTCTCCCTGGAAGAACAGATATCCAGTGCTTGCATCGCTGGCAGAAGGTGCTGAATCCTGGAATTTTAAAAGGACCTTGGACAAAGGAGGTAGAATTGAAAGAGCATGTTTTTGTGCACTTTGTCTTTCTAATATCATTCATACGTGACTGTGGGATGTTGTTTTTACATTCAGGAGGATGATCATATTACGATGTTAGTTAAAAAGTATGGTTGTAAGAGATGGTCTGTCATTGCAAAGTACTTGGGAGGACGTATAGGCAAGCAATGCCGTGAAAGGTCAGTGCATTAAATTCTGACTAGCAATGGCCAATTTATTTATTTATTTATTTTGCTTGGATGGATAGATTTTATATCCTTTGAATTTAGCCATCTTTTTTATTAAGGGAATTATGATCATGTGAACTTATTTCTATCTAGAGGGTCCTCCTTTATTGTTATTAGGCTTTTTTACTTTCCTATCTTCTATGATTGGAAGGGAAAAGGAGGAAGAGCCCTGATCTGTTTACAATTCAGACTTTAAAGCAGATAAATGGATAGAATTTATAACTGGCCTACATATTTGCAATTAGCTATTTTTGGTTAACCAGGAGCCTAGGCAGTGTGTGATACTGTGAATCAGATTTATGCAACAAATAATTTACATTTTCAGGTGGTACAATCATTTGGACCCAACCATAAGAAAAGATTCATGGACAGAAAAAGAGGAGGCCATTCTTACATATTATCACCAAATATATGGGAACAAGTGGACCAAAATAGCAAAGCTTCTACCTGGGAGGTATGAATTGATCAAAATTTAGTTGCTTACAAAATTGTTTATAAACAATAAAACAATACAAGAATGATTGCTACATATGCTTATCGTTAATGTCATATGCATATCAAACATGCACATTTAAAGTTTGATGACTCATTTTTCTTATTTCTTGCAATATGCTTTACCCATGTCTTTCTGGTAATTTACAGAACTGATAATGCGATAAAAAATCACTGGAACTGTACCTTAAAAAAGAAGTTGAGTTTGTATTCAACTCATCTTTATGCAATGGACATCTGCATTGAAGAATCTGGTTTTAGTGATCAGGAAATTACTTCAAAATTCATGAAGGTCAAAGAATGGAGACAGGTTCTTTATGAAGCAAAATCTGTCAATCAGAACATTGCTGTGGATTGTGGTGCTGGCACATGTAAGATAGATTTGGTTCTTGGAATTGCTAATCAAGCAGAAATCAAATTAGAAGCAGACTGTGGTAAGGTAGGAAAGCATAGGTCTCCAGGAGTGCCAAATGAGCAGGTAACTCCACTTAATAATAGAGTGCATTTTGATGACAAAGCTAATGTTACAATTGATGACTCAATCGTTGGATCTGTAAGAAGGTATGCTAAGCACATTAAGACACATGAACCTCGATTAGCTTCATGCAGAGTAGGTTCGCAGGATAGTCATGCTCTTCTTTCCTCAACATCAGTTGATTCTCCATCGAGTCCCCTAACTTTCAAAATTTCTGAGGATGGTCAGGTCCACATGCAAAGCGAAAATCAGAGGATGAATACAGTGTACTCAAGTGATTGCTTGTCACATAATGAGCCATCGCAGCTGAAGGATTCGGTTAGTGCCATATTTCCCATTGTGGACAGTCAAGATGTGTCTTTAAAAAGTTCATTTTGCTATTCTACTCCACCTAAACTTGTGGAAAGTCTCTCTCCCAGCAGTAGTAGTCCAGAATCTATATTGAGGATTTCTGCAATGACCTTCAAAAACACTCCTTCTATCATAAGGAAGAGAAGTTACAAAAAGGCTTGGAATGATAACTTTTCTGACGCCTCCTGCTCACCTGTGAGGAGTTTCTCATGTTTTCATTGTGAAGGAGAAATCAATGATACTTATTAATGCATGCTTTTCTCGATTTGAATTTTCCACTGTTATATACTAACCTAAAGAAAGGGCATACTTTTGGTTTTGGGGACTTTTTTTCTGCAAGTGCATATAACTACATATGTAAGAGCATATGGCGAGTCAAATGTCTATTTTTCCCATCATTTCTTTTCTGGATCATCAAATATTTTGGAAGGTTTGTTTTGAAATTTCATACCAGTTGTTCCATCCCAATATGAATTGCCATACGAACAGATGAGTGTAGATTTTTGGAAATCAAATCTCTCTTTATTCTCTGCTTTTGCTTTGAGAAGTACTGCTTTAGGGTAATGAAGTGGCGGGATGATTCAAGTGTTCGAGTATTGGCATTTGGAATTTGGGATGATGCCCTTTGCTTGAACGACCAACGGTAAATAAAAAAATATGATGTGGAAAGGCACCAAGTATCGAAGCTTTTTCTTTTGGTTGGTACATATGCTCGCTCAGCTTCATGAAATCATATTTCGAGCAACGAGCTGAGCATCTTTGCTTTTGCCTACAATAATAAAAAATATAAAAAAATAAGTAAAAAAAAAAAAATGCGCAAAAGCTAAAGCCTTCCAATTCCAACTCCCTTAGAACATGATGTTTGCGAATTCGATCCATTTCATAGAATCCACAAAGAAAATTTGTGCTTTAAAGCCACTTGCAGAACCGTCTGGCAGAAGAGCTGTCATGAAAGAATGAATGCCCTATAAAAACGATGCATGAACCATTGATAAATTTCTAGGCACAGCTTTGTTGCTCTCACTGCTTTGGTCCCACAGGTAACAAACTAATCAACCAGCCTATCCAAATTAGGCAAGAAAAAATATATCCTTACGAACATATCTTGATGATTACGTGGATGGGTCAAAGAAGTACGATGATCTACAAACATCCCATCCGATTTGTTACAGAAAAAAAAAATCTGTAAGATATAGATAAGGATTTCTTAAGAAAAATTAAAATGAGATTGAAATTAGCAATTAGTGGATTGATGGATTATCTGATGGTAAAATTATTTCATTAAATCATCATTGTCTATTTTCATAATCATCGAGAAAGTAGGGATGATTTACCATTGTTGATAAACTATAATACTCCAACTATAGTACTTCAATGTGTCTATATATAAATAGTTTTTTGGTATATTTTTATAGTTTTTGTTAATATTTTAAATTGTGCCCATTTTTTTGTTTTATTTTTAAATCGTCTCTAAAATTGTGTCCTATTAAATGCACTGACACAAATTATGAGTTTATGAGTGACCCAGAGATCTTCATAACACTTTATTATAATATAGTAGAATCTGTTATTTTCTCTCCCTGTAAAACCCTGTCAGAATCATTGGTCTTTTATGCAATTCTTATCTTTTCTTTCCCATTTCAAAAAGATAGTTTCCTTGATTTTCTAAAACACGTCTTCTTCTAATTTATATACTTCCGAAACTGACTGCTTTTTTTATTCTCTTGTAATCAAAAAGAAAAAGGATTGTTTAAAAACCCAATCTCCCTCTCATTCTCCTTCTCCTTCTCTGAATTCTAAATTCATAAAAACAATCATTCTTTATAATCTTCTTTACAAATGGGTTCCTCAGAAAAAACCATTCTTGTTACTGGTGGAGCTGGTTTCATTGGCACCCACACTGTGGTGCAGCTTCTCAATGAAGGTTTTAGAGTGTCAATTATAGACAATCTTGATAATTCTGTTATTGAAGCTGTTCACAGGGTTAAGGAATTGGTAGGTCTTGAGCTCTCTCAGAAACTTGACTTCAATTTGGTAAGAAAATCCTTTTTTTCTTGCTGCAACCAACAATGAAATCTTTGTAGCTTTGCTCCATGTTATTTTTATTATTATTATTATGACCATACATTTGGGTTTTTCTGGTTTTAAGATTTATGATAAAGTTTTTACATATTGCTTTTGAGCATGATCAAGATTTTGCTTTTGTTTGGTTGCAGGGTGATCTGAGGAATAGGGATTACTTGGAAAAGCTTTTCTCTAAGACAAAGTATGTCAACTGGACATATAACTTATCTGGTTTTGATTGTTTGTATTTGTCAAATTTTAGTATCTAGGTAAATGGATTTATTGCAAGGTGAATATCGTATCCTGTTTTTTTGTTTCGCTTTAAGATTATGCTTTAAATCTTGGATTAAAATGAATATTATTTGCCTAATTCTGTGGAATTGACTTCTTCTGTATTTAACAAATGCCACAGGTTTGATGCTGTAATCCACTTTGCTGGACTTAAAGCTGTTGCAGAGAGTGTTGGCAACCCTCGTCGTTATTTTGACAATAATTTGGTTGGCACCATCAATCTGTATGAGGTCATGGCCAAATATAATTGTAAAAAGGTATGAGAATGTCTTAAAATCTTTGTTGTCCTCTGTATGAGTTCTTTTAATCTATATTATTTAATAGTTGCACTTTCAATTGATACAAGGAAGATGATAAATCACTAAAATTGTCTGAAATCCGTAATGAGTTGCTTATTGATGTTTCAAGTTACCAATTTTATTCTTTGAGGAAAGCCATTTTTATCTCATGACTAGTGCTGTTTCAGTTATAACCATGTGGATTACCAAAGGATTTGGTCGATGAGTTTATATTTATTTGTGGAGTGGTTCTTGTATATTTTGATATATCATAACACAGCAGGGATTAAAACTTAGTTTCCATGTATGTGACCATGTTTTTATGCCAAAAATGGTTATAGTTTCTCTTGTATCGCTCTCAATTCCACTACAATTTTCAGGTTTTGGCTAAAATGAACTGCTAGTTAACAAGATTGGCCTCCCTATCCTTCTTTTACTTTGATATAAAAAGTAGCCTTAGGCTTGCCTAAGCTAAGTTTTTGATTCTTCATTACCTTTCTCATGCTTTTTCATGCTTCATTCAAGGTTATACTTCTTTATTTTTTGGGGAAAACAGATGGTATTCTCATCCTCTGCAACTGTCTATGGCCAACCTGAGAAAATACCATGTGTTGAGGATTTTGATTTGAAGGCCATGAATCCTTACGGAAGGACGAAGGTAAATAGCATTGTGCACTAAAAATGTTTCCTTTCTTGGTTCATAATTATGGTACATTCCTTGTGTTTAAGTTTGATAAACCCTCTGCAATTGTAATTCTAAACTTGGCTTTAGACTAAACCTTTCCCTAAATTTCACCAGCTTTTCCTTGAAGAAATTGCACGAGATATTCAGAAGGCAGAACCAGATTGGAGTATTATTTTACTGCGGTACTTCAATCCTGTTGGTGCACATGAGAGTGGTAAAATTGGTGAAGATCCAAAGGGCATCCCAAATAATCTCATGCCTTACATACAGCAAGTAGCGGTTGGCAGATTGCCTGAACTTAATGTATATGGTCATGATTATCCAACTAAGGATGGCAGTGCGGTATGTGTTTTAAAAGCTAATATTCATTCTTGAGGATTGAAGAATTTTCTGGAGGATTAAAAGTCCTCATTTGTTGAGTGCAGTCAACATTGTAATTCATCTCATGTGCCTGCTGGATATCAACTAATCATGTTTCATTAATATGTTTTACATACAAAATAAAGTTATTAATAATCACTCAAATATTTTTTTCTAATTTGGTCTTCTGTTGACAGATCCGAGACTACATCCATGTTATGGACTTAGCTGATGGTCATATTGCTGCCCTTAGGAAGATTTTTACCACAGAGAATATAGGTGATCAATTTAAATCATTCAAGTTTTTACTTCTCAATGAACTTACATTTATCTGTTTACAGATATTAAAGGATTGCTGGTAGTTCCTTTTGGGAAATTTATAGGTTTTAAACTCCTCTTTTCTTCTAGGTTGTATTGCCTACAACCTGGGAACAGGCTGTGGTACATCTGTGCTTGAAATGGTTGCTGCTTTTGAGAAAGCTTCTGGAAAAGTGAATGTTCTCTCTTTTCCCCTTCCCTTTCCCCTTCTCAGTCTCTCTCTCTCATATGTTTTATTTGCTGCTGTTGAAAAATATTGCAGAAAATCCCCATTAAACTATGTCAACGAAGGCCAGGAGATGCTACAGCTGTTTATGCTTCTACTGAGAAAGCTCAAAAAGAACTTGGTTGGAAGTATGTTTGTAATTCCCATCTCTTTCCTAATTTATTATTGAATTGGAATTGCATGGATAATCTAAATGTCTACCGGCTATACTATAAGTTTGATCCTTTGTCACATACTATATATATATACTTATCTCCCAGTTTGTGTTAGCAATCCATCTATCAATGATCAATTGGTCATTAATGGAAACAATTTTATTTACCATTGGACATGATTCATTTGAGGCTTAAGTTTAAGTAATATATTGATATTCTTCACTAGAGGTGACACTAGCAAATCCTATCAGAACAGCTTAAGATTTCTTTGCTGTCCTCGGGGAGTTGACCAATTTCTGCTCATTATGTTTATGTATTTATTTTTATTTTGAAGTTTTCATGTATTTTTTGTCATATTGGGGTTAAGATTTTGGTATTTTGCAGGGCAAAATATGGTGTAGCAGAGATGTGCAGGGACCAATGGAAGTGGGCGAGCAACAATCCATGGGGATACCAGTCAAAGCCTTAAGCTTTTGCTAAACACTATTTTCTTCCCCATCCTTTTCTAAGTTTCTCCTGGGGAGAATAAATGTACAAAACTTGATTACATAATTCTCTCATGTTACAGTGAGCAGAAAACCTGCTTTCTCAACATGTCATTTAAACTAAGGTGATCCCTGATGTGATCATCTTGCAGAATTCTGATGGGTTACATGGATTAAGTCATTTCTTTTTACTTGGTTTTATGAGTGTGTGATATTTTATCATTTCTGGAGTTTAAACAAAAGGTTTTAACTTGACTATAAAGAGTTGACCTAAGCAAATCCCATTCAGTTACCTTTCAGGCTTTCTCTTTTTATAAATATGGTCAGTCATCAGTCTACAATCTTATGTAACAAACCCTAATGAAAAGCTTTATCATCCCGCTAGGCACTCTAAAATCAGCATGCTCAGCTCACTGATTGTCTTTCCACACTTTCCTGGCCTTTACCTGATTGGACTTCGAGCTCATTTGGGAAAACTAACGTCACCTTCTTGCAAGTTTGTCAAACAACCAACTAATAATTACTAACAGGAAACTTTCCTTGAAACTCCAAGAATTATCGACTACATTTTGAAGGATCTTCGTATTCACAAAAAGTCAACTCAAAGAAACAAATCAATGATCAGTTTGAAGGGGCTCCTATATTATTCAGAATAAGCACGCTTGAGGAACAGCCCAAGGAATGGAGCAGGCAAAGGAACCAGAGAAAGAAGAAAGAGAACATGTTTTGGCGATTGCTTCTAGAATTATGGCTGGTGTTTCACCTTTGGCAGCCATTTCTAACCCCCTCACCTTTCTCTTTCTCAGGGACTTTTACAAGGTGGTTCTAGACCTCCCATACATCATTCAAATCTCTTCCTTCGGTTCTTGGTGCTTCTCTTCTCCTTTATCTCAGCTCTAACACTTGCTGCCCCATCTACAAAGAAGAAATACCAACGATCTCCCAGCTTCACTGAGTACGCTGAATTGGTGTAAGAATAACTATGATTTTGCCTTAATTATTTGACAATATTAAAAAGTAAAGACCGGAGAGAGAGAAATAAAAGATTGAGCAACTAAGAAATCCATCGACCAAAACTGAGAGATCACCTTAAAATCTAACAGCAGTATCGGTCTTAAAGAAGGAATTGCCAGGAGCCTTGCTTGTTCCCTTCAAAGCCTCATCCTCCAAATAACTTCCTAAACCTGATGTTGGGCTCCAATGTCCTGCCTCTTCATCATACCTCGGTAATCTTTATCCTAAAACCACCTTAATTGGAAAGCTTAGCACAGGATAGGTCTCAAAAGCAACTATCACATAATACCGAGTTACTGATGAATACATGTTCTCGAATATTATTGTTTTTGTGTAGATATTGCTTCATTGTAGCCATTTTAGCTTTCCTATACGCAGCTTTCCAACTGTTTGAAGGCATTTGCGACATTGCTCAAAGAGGCATTCTAATTTCAGATATTACCTCAGACTACCTTAGCTTTGTCCTCGACCAGGCAAGTGCACTCCCCCACTATAACACGCTCTCTCTCTCTCTCTCTCTCTCTCTCGTTTTAAACAGTAGTAGTTGTTAACGTGTGTGATAGCTAATTCATGGGTAGCCCTGTAACCGTTGGTGGGTTACCTTCTCATCTCATCTGTTTCAGTGGCAATACCGCTCATTCGACATGTTGGGAAAATCACACCACTTTCGGAAGAAACCATCGTATCAACCAGTACGTCCTTTGCAACTTTTCTAGTTATAGCAATTTGTGCTCTCTTATTGCTACAAGCTTTGCAAGAGAATCATCTGGTGATGTTGCTGGCTAGCTGGTGGATATTACTGTATTCTTGCTTCATTCCACAAATTGCTGTTCTAGTATTAATAACTTAAAAATGCATAGTCTCATATGTACATGATCCTTCAGACATCCAGTTTGACATACAATCTAGGGACTTGCTACATGACTGAATGTTGATTTCCTGAGTGGTTTTGTTATTCCAATTTTTTGGGGTCTCACAGTCTCTCTGACTTGAAAGTTTACAATGTTACCAAAAACCAGATGTCAAAGTATAAAGTGACAAATAAGTTATAGACTCTTTGCCACTTTAAATGGGATCTCATTCACTTTTTCTCGTAAACAACATCCTGTTTCTTGCTGTTATTGCCAATCCACGGCCCACTATTCAAGTATACACAAGAAGTTTGGTCCAGTTGGTAGTCGTAACTTGTTGAAATATTGATTCTATGTTCAATATCAGAGGCTCTACTCTACAAAAAACCAGACAAACTAATGATTTTTGTCATTAGAGAGGTCTAACATGCATTAACAGGCATTCCGTCCTTCAAATTTATAAAAAGGCAATATATGCTTAGCTTCCGCCCACCACAAAAGTAATTAAAAGAAAAGCATAGAGTTACAATCACTACATGTAAAGATATTCACCAGGCCACAAAATAATCCCATGATATACTATAAGTGAGTCAAACAGAAGAATGGGAAAGACCTGGGTCAATTTCCCAAAATGATACTGAAAAAAGAAGAGCAAGTATTACCTCTCAGCCCCTAAAGTCTTATCTTCTTTAATGATATGAAGTTTGCCTTCTGTAAACTCACAAGCGGGAATGGGGATCCCAAGCTGCTTCTTCAGCTTCTTCACAACAAACACTTCTGGCTCCTCACAGATGATTACCATAGTACCTTTCCTGCCAAGCTGACCTGTTCGGCCAGCTCGGTGTGCATAGTGGATAGAGTCACTGGGTAGGTCCAGATTAACCACCAGGTCACATTCTGCCACATCCAAACCCCTTGCTGAAAGTTCATTTGTCACCAAATCTCTCACTTCTCCATCCTTGAATCTTTTCAAAGTTGTTGACCTCGCAAGCTTGCCAAGGTCACCAAGCAACTCTGTGGCTATCATCCTGCGAGCCTCTAGCTTGAAGAAAGCATCCTTTAGCTGCATTGTATGGTTCATGAAGGCTATCACTGACTTGGCATCAGGTGCGTGGACACATCTTCTCAACGTATCAACCTTGTGTTGCAGTTTTGAGACACAATGGTAGTGCTTCAAAGGAGGTGGTAGGCTTTGCGATGCAGCCTGAGTCTGCATATTTGAACTTGAGTCTGAACTGGATGTAGGTCTTAAGAGATTAACAGGTCCAGAGGGAGAAATAGATTCAAGTGGCATGACCTTTTTGGCTTGAACAAGAACTGGGTCACACCCCCGACTCCTAGCTGCCCTTATAACTGAATATGGAACTGTAGCAGACACCATAATATTCCGACGCTCAGCCCACTTAGCAAGTGAGCGACGGGGATTAGAACCTTATCTCCTACCCACATGTTCCAATATACGGTGCATATCCTCCCGGAAGTTAGATGAAAGGAGCTCATCAACTTCATCCAAAACCAAGAAGTGACAGCCATGAGTATGAAGCTTCCCTGCAGCACCGATCTCCGCAATTCGACCAGGGGTGCCAACAACAATTGCTGGCTTGTTTTTCTTTAAAGCTTCTTCCTGTCTTGATCGGTTTGCACCTCCTACAAGTTGCTGAACAACTTTCTTGTCTGCAGGACCTAGAAGCTTTTCAACCTCCCTAACAATTTGCATCCCCAGATCCCTAGAGGGAGCCACAATAACTGCTTCAATCTCCTTTTTCTTCCCAGATTCACCCTCACCATTAGGAGATTTATTTTTCAGTGGGCCTACTTCAGACAGTATCGGAAGGAGATACGCTAATGTTTTTCCTGAGCCTGTGTAAGACTGAATCACGACATCATGATCCTTGAGAATTGTTGGAACTGCTGCAGACTGAACATCAGTTGGAACCCTGAAGCCTGCAGTTTCTAACCTCTCTAGCAACAAAGGTGGGAGGCCAAGCTCAGAAAATGACTTTGCAGCAAAAGGCGCTGACTCAATTTCTACTGATTTTTTCAGCCCAACGGCCTTAACTGCTTTTATACTGTTGCTTCCAACTACCCTCACCATACTTTTAGGTGCTTCATAAGAAACCCTGAGCCTCTCTATTTTATTTGCTTTATTCTTGTTTGTTTCCTCAAAGTCACTCTTGAAGCCTAGGCTGGCAAGAGTAAGAGGCCCATTATCATGATTAACCTGACTCACAAATCGTACACTGGTCTGGCGCCAAGCTTTCCTAGACGAATTAGGTAACCTACGGAAGGGTAAAGATTCTCCTAAAAAAAGAAGCAACCTTGTTGAGGCTAATGCTGGCATCTTTGCTAGACTGTTATTGACCAGCAACTGAAAAATCCCCGTTTGCAAAGCTCAACCCAGTATCATTTGACAATCGAGAATTGCCAAAAAGCATTTTAGAAACAGAATCTCGAACTGCAGATTCAGTGGAAGGCAACAAAAGGGTCAGAGCTATGTTGATAGAAATAGTATATGCACATCCTAGCTTCTATACATGCTAAAGCAAACAATCAAATACTTGAATCCACGATATCTGTATTCAGTAGTATGAACAAAAAACCCATAATTCATATACTAAGATATTACGTTGTGCTACAAGAAATCAAGAAACACCTAAATATATGTATAGCAAGTAATGCAAAAATAGGATCTTGCTTGCTTGCATTTGCCTAGCATTTCCCTATCTGCTGAAGTCTCAACTCGTCATTTCCTAATACTTAATACGCAACCGAAAACATGTTAGAGAATTCTAAAATGGATGAAATGTGAATTCATGTTTAAAAGTGATGGAACGAAGCTCAATTTGAATGATAAATAAAAGATGTAATGAATTGAAGTTCATTTCGTTGTTGACTGAACCATTTTATCAAACGGTATGAGATCAACATCAAAGCAGAACAGTGCTGTTGCAAGTTCAACAAAAATGGTTAACCTAGGGTCACGCTAACGAGAAACAACCAGTTGAGTGTTTGGATACCTAGAAAAGTGAGGAAACTCGACTATATGGAACTTTTTCAAAAGAAAATTGGCAAAAATAAAAAACGACTTACCTTGGAACGCAAATTGCGTCCGGCCTCTCTTACTCTGCGTTAGAGTAAACTCGGTGTTCAAACGCCACGTTTCGCATTGGGTACTCTCTTTAGGGTCAAACGTAAAAGCTTTGGAAATTATACATGGCCCATCCAATTTAAACCCATGCTTAAAAGCTTTAGGCAAGACACAAGCTTTTGGATTGGACCGAAAATTGGGCTCAGCATCAAGCTAACACCCCGTACCCCAGTTGCAATGAACAGAACTGAAACTTCTAGTAGAAAGGCAGGGTTGGAGTATAACTCTCAGCCAAACATTCCAGATTTCTGTCTTGTTCCAAAATCCAATTCGGCAACTCTCTGCTTCTTTTTTCTTGCAAGAAAATTAAAATGATATAATTTCAGTGAGGTTGGATAGAATCGAGAACGTGGGGGACCGTAAGAAAATGGAACAAACAGAAGATGCTAAAGCAATGAAAGAAAAAAAAAAAAAAAGAAAAAGGTAAAACTCCAAGTACCAGGTTCTTTTCACCAATTGGCAGTTTATCTTAGATCCCTGTCTTTTCTTTTTCGTATCTATTTCGCATTTTTTTTTCTTCCCTTCTGTCTCAGTTTTTCTGCTCCTCGTGTTCAGTTCATGTTTAATTGTTGCCTTTCTTGCTTTTCAGCGAATCCGTATTGAGCTATCCGTGTGCTTAATGGGGATCAAAAGCAGCCATTACCAGCATAAAAAGATGAAGTAATTTCTTATGATTTAGAGTTTCATTTATATATATATATATATATATATATACACACACATACGTATACCCTTTTCTCCGTTTATGATTGATCAATTTAGAATATTACTGCTAGTTTATGATTTATTAACCTTTTGCCTGTTTGAGAAATGAAATTGCATTTACCAATATCATGATCTCCCTTTGGGATTAGGGGGCGTGTGAGATGGGATGAAGCTAATCTCAGTGAAATTGAGGCAAACAAACCAGTAAGGAAAAAAATTGATGAACCCAAAACACCTTATCCTCCAATGATTGAGGAAGATGGTATGGTGATGACCTTTTGTTCTCAATTTGCAGCTTTTTGGTTGATAGAATTTGCAATTCAGACATTATTATTATTATTCTAATGTTTTTTGTAGGCTCTTCCTCTACTCGGCCGGATAATTCTGTTAAAAGCATTGGCTACTCTGCACATGCTGAAGCCTTAAGAAATGCCCTAAACAAATTAGCGCTGAGTGAAAAGAACAATGGTGCTTCTGGGGGATGGACATCATCTGATGAAGAGGGTGAAACAGGGGACGAAGATCAAGGTGGATAAATCATCTGAGCAATGCTAGATTGTTAACGCTTTCATTAATTGTCTAATCCCCTTCACCTTCAACTTGCTTTCAGGCTTTGCAAAACAAAGAGATGCTGTGAGCTTTGAGGACAGAAGGAGAGCACATTATGACGAGTTCAAGAAGGTGAAAGAAATGCAAGAAAAGGCCTGCTTTCTCGATGATGAGCATGATAATGGAAAACATAATTCTGGTTCATGTTCCAACCTTAGCATCGATTCAAGAGAAATAGATATTGAGGATGACGATCAAATTCTGCCAATAATTTACATTGAGAATAATGATGACCAGAGTTTTACTCAATAGCCACATTTGGTTAGCTAGAAAGCCTCATCAAAATCTACCAATCATGGTTACCCAATTTGTTTAATGATTTTGTTAATGTTATCTTCATTATATTAATTTTTAAAATTTCTTATAATTTAGCTTTAGTAGCTTTTTTTAAGTCTGAATTACCAACATTTATTTTTATAAATTATTAAGTAAATCACCAAGCTTTGACTTTGAGATAGATTTGTTCATGAGCTTAGTATAGACAAAAATTCTCAAATCTCGACTCGGTTGATCCAAATTATTATTAAATTTTAAAGTACTTGATTTTAATAATTAAACTTCAAATTAAAAAATTTACGACAATCAATCAATGTTAAATTCCACATAGATAGTCTTACCCTGATATATCGTTCCATATAAAGTCTAACAATCCTTATTCAGATCTCCACGTGGCTCAACAACAGATCACTTTATATCTCCCCCTTCCGGCTGATCCAATCATATCCCAACCTCTCATTATTCCAATCATTAGTCAAAATTCCTTACCTTCAGCAAAGCGGAGGACACATGTCCCGACACGTATGAAGACAAGTTACGGTCGTGCTGTAAAAATTCGAAAATTTTACTGGTCACTGCAAACTCTTACCAGAGAATTATCGAAATGAAAGAAGGAGAGAGAAGTTTCTGGAAGAGACCTTAACACATAATACACCACATCCTGTGCCTTCCTTTTGTTCCCCATCGTGCGCGTGGGTCCCACGTACTTGGCCCTTTTCTCTATCTTTCTATTAATTTATCTTTTATTTCTCTTTCCTTCTCGAATCCACGATTTCTCTTTTTTCCCCTTATCATTTACTCCACCCAGAACCTTCTAGAAAGAACAAAACCTAACTTCCGCTCCCACTCTCTCCCTCTCTCTCAACATGGCCGTCTTTCACTTTCTTACGGTGTTGAAACCTTTGATTCAACGGTGTTGATCGCATGAGCCAGGTTTCTTGCTTCTTGATTGGTGGGTGGGAAAATTTTTGGTTTTCTTTTAGGTACGAATATTTATTTTTAATGCTCCTACATCCTCTTATTCTCCCTGTTAGATTTGAATATTTTGAATTTTTTAATGTTTTCTCCATGATTGATGAAAGAAACGAATAAATGTTATAATATTTGTTCATCAATTAGGTCAAAACGATCACAAGAGCAAGAAACTGTTAATACTATTTTGAAACTGTCTTCGTTTCTTTTGAATCTGAATAAGCTATATAAATAAGTTTTTGCAGTTGAATTTGGCCGACCACTAGATATTTGCAGCTAGAAACACCGAAGATATTTCTTTGTTCATTTATTTATTTTCTTTTCTACACTCTCTCGGCTACCAAACGGATCATTATTATGTACTGATATTATTATTATTATTATTATTTGCTATTTTCTTGTTCAAGTCTGATCTAATTAGAGTTTAATTATCAGCAGTTAAGGAGCTAAAGGCACGCCAAAGGAGTTCTGTAGGGTTCGGATCCAGGCCCGAACCGCATGGCACCATTGCCGGCCGACCAACCCTGCGAATCCCATGCTGTTGCTGCCGCTGACTCGCAACGATCGTTACCTACACCGTTCCTTACCAAAACCTATCAGCTCGTCGATGATCCCTCCGTTGATGATTTGATTTCATGGAACGAAGACGGATCAACTTTCATCGTTTGGCGCCCCGCTGAGTTCGCCCGTGATTTGCTTCCTAAATACTTCAAACATAACAATTTCTCTAGCTTCGTCCGTCAACTCAACACATATGTAAGTATTAAAATTAAAGATAATAGCAATAATAATTAGTTTAATTAAGTTTTTAAATATTAGTTGATTTGAAAACTAATTTATTTTTCTCATTATTTTTAGGGATTTAGAAAGGTAGTGCCCGATCGATGGGAGTTCGCTAACGATTGTTTTCGAAGAGGGGAGAAAGGACTTCTCCGAGATATACAGCGCCGGAAAATTACTCCTCCTACTGCTGCTGCTTCCGCGACGGTTACCGTTGCGGCGGTTCCTTGTAAAGTGTCCCCATCGAATTCGGGCGACGAGCAGGTTATTTCCTCGAATTCGCCTCCTGTCGCCACCGTTGTGCATCTGACCACGAGCTGCACGACAACGTCGGAGCTTTTAGAGGAGAATGAGAGGCTTAGAAAAGAAAACATGCAGTTGAATCATGAGTTGACTCAATTGAAGGGATTGTTTAACAATATATTAACTTTGATGACGAACTATGCTTCCTGTCATTTGGAGAACCATTCAAATTTGGCGGAAGGGAAGGCGTTGGATCTTTTGCCAACGAGGAATTGCGCTAGAACAGCGGAGGATGGTGGTTCGAATAGGGCCGCGGAGATGGAGGAAGAGGAGGACGCGGCGGAGGATGTGACACCAAAGTTGTTTGGAGTTTCCATTGGGGTGAAGCGCGTGAGGAGAGAGGATGAGGATGAAGAGGAGCAGAATAATAATCAAGTACAGCAGCAGGAGGTTGAGCCTGGGTGTGAGGTTAAAGCAGAGCCGTTGGATGGGAAGACTGAGGATCAGGATTCTTCGTGGCTGGAGCTTGGTAAATGATCAAATGAGTACTATTATTTGATTTTTAATTATTGGATGGTAACGATGATCATGAGGACGGTAAAGGAGCGTGGCCCCATGGGAGCGTGGTCCGAGGAATCACGTGTTGGAACACCACACATAGCATGAGGAAGCATTCATTCTGGTTGCTTCTGGAATGTGAAACTCCTTCGCATCGGGGTCGAGGAGAGGGATATTGTACAGGCACGCAGAACATAAAAGATCAAACGACGCGGCTTCGACAACAGTTTTCTGCCAACGAAAACGAATATCATAGCTTGGTTTTCAATCCCCACGGTAGGTTATTCCTGAAGATTAAACAGCAGTCGGTTAAAAATAGAATAAAAATAGAATATTTATCCATTCAAGATGGAAACTTTTGTGTACGATATTCGATGAACAAATCTAAATAAAATGTTTCATTTTGTGGTGCTTTTTGCATGTTGCTTTTCTGAAAGTTCTTTCGGTGCGGCGTAGACATTAGAACACGTTTAGACATGTCAAACGTGGAAAAATGTCTTTCCTTTTATAACGACGGCTGTAATCAGCTCCATGTTAATGCAAAGGTTGAAACTAACACGTTCCTCATCGGTTGATGCAGTTTAGTTTTAACATGAAGCAGATCAAAGAAAATTAACTACCGTTGGTTGAGACTTTTAGAGTATTCAACCGATCAAACATTCTCTAATGTCTATCATATTTAGTAAAATACACTTATTATGCCAGGCAAATCCTTGACAAGTTAAAATCAACAGCAAATTTATCATCAATCGTGTAACAGCAAGCTTTTAGTATGATGTTAGATTCTTAACTTTAATGCTCATATTTGACAATTTCAAATGACGAAAAAAATATCAGCAAATTGTGAAAGCTTCTCTTTTGGTACAGATCAACAGGCTCAGCAATAATACAAGTAGCAAAAGCTCACTCTAAAAAAGGACACTCCCTGCCATTAGAAATTTTTTTATTAAAAAAATCGTAATTTAGAGATTAAAAAAAAAGTAACTTTTTTAATAAAAAATCATAATTAAGAGATTAAAAAAAAAAGTTATAAAGGTTGAAATTTGAATCCCATATTAGTTAAAGTTGTATATATTCTAGGACCTAAGCATACACTGGTTTGAGTCCACCCAGCTGAATTTTCCTAGATCCCAAAGTGTTGGAACAGTCTAAAACCAAAAAATTTTGAAGTCTTCGTTCTTCAAACTTGACTTCACCTTTGAATCTCAAAATGCTTATAAAATTAACTTAAGGGCCAATATATAAACAAACAAAGGTTGTGTTCATTAGATTTCTAAAATGTACAATGCTTTTATCTTATGGAATTATTTTATCAATCAAAACAAGATACACCAATGTTCAAAGCTATACTATCATTTTAAATCGAGAGGTTTAGACAAGGTGTTGGATTAGGTTCAATTTCGGTTAGGTTGGGCATGTTAAATTTGCATTAGACGTTGATGATTGATATAACTTTATGATTACATTAAAATTTTTTTATTTTTCCAAAAGTGCTGATTTATGGTGAAATGTGATAGTATTAAAGTTTAGATTTAGATTTAATGTACTGTTAGATTCTAAACATTATCGTTAAATCATATATTATCATCTCATTAATAAAGTGAATTAAATAATGATAACTTATTAATAAATAATTTTTTACATATTAATTTTTATAAATTTATTTTAAAAATTAATATTTATTTATTAATAAAATATTATCATATAATTTACTGATAATATATAAATTTTTGTACACCAATAATTTATCAAATATAAATTCTTAAAGTTTAAAATTTTCAAGCAGATTCTCCAGGCCCAAAAGAACACCAAGTCATCCACTACGCTAATAGCAATGAGCCGGCTGAGAGCAGGCTCAAATCTGGTGGGTCTGAAACCAGGCCATAATCTGATGTTGCAGTTCTAGAGCCTAACTTGCTATAACTGGATTGGCAATGGCCTATGTGCATAAAACTGAACTTGTTTAAGAAGTTGCTAAAAGAGTTCTGGGCTTCAGGTTTCATTTTCTTGAAATTCCTGAAATGGCACAAATATAAATGATATTATATTTTTTGGTGGGATCACTGATGTGGAACATCTTTTTTTTTTTTTTTTGTAAATGAATAAAAAAGAGGGAAACACTGAATGATCTAATATCAGAAACAGATTCCCCAAATAACATCAAGGTCTTGGTCTTTGTTATAATCAAATAGCATATCTCTATAAAAGGGGGAATTGCCAGAAATGAGAGGACCAAAAGTACCTTACAAATTGTACTACCCATACCAAATAAATTGCACTTAATACCAACAAAAGGAGGAAAAGAAAGAAAAGGGCTAATGAACTACTAGTGGGGTTCAAAATGCTTAACATTTCCAAAGGCCAAAGACAAAAATAATAAAGCCTTTTCAGCTTTAGCCAAATCTTGTTCTATTAAACAATGGTTCAAATCCAACTATAGGCTACTGTTTGCGATAATGGGTAGACTATGTGAATCACGTTTGTGGAAATTTTAGACTGTCAACAAGCAGCCCAGCAATTGCTAATGCCAAGAACCCCCCCCCCCCAACTGCTTCGGCATTACTGTTCCTCTTTGGTCCCTGCATGCTGCATCAAAATCAATATAAATGTGTTTTCAGCCGACTTTCTTGACTAAAAATATCATTATAAAAGGTTTTCATGGTGTGTTAGGCACCCTTGAGTTAGTTTCCATGAAATTCTGGTTTCTGCCAAGTTTTTTTTTTTTTTTTAATGGTATTTGGCCGCAATATGTAACAATCTGTGTATTAAATTTAAGCATTTTCTTGACTTTTAAGTATAGTGTTTACACAATTTCATGACATTTAGTCATGGCTGCCCACAATGTGTGGCTGTCATTTAGAATCTAAGAACAACTTTATGTTACTTGATTATTTGTTTTGTTCAAATTTTGAAATTGGACAATCGCAGGCTTCTGAAGAGATATTTTTTGGGTTTATATATCCTTTTTGTTGCTATCTTTTTAACTTGTCCTTTTAGGAGAATTTCAATGCGTTTTTGTTAAACCTTTTCTAGAACGTTAAGTAGTAAAAAAAAAAAATTAATTAATTCGTAAACGTACTTTAGCGTGCGCCGCACTGGCTGATAATGATGTGTTTCATCGTTAGTCTGGCGTTAGAAATTTTGAGACTTTAAGGGTTCATTAGTTTTCTAGAGAGATTATAATATCTGTCGAAATAAATTAGTTTATAAATTCATGGTTAGATATAATTTTAAGAATTATTATTATTTTTTATTTTAAAAGTTGTTATTATATTTTTTACTATTGATGTAATTGATTATGTAAATAAATTTACTTTTTAAAAAAATTTTAAATTTAACTAAAGGTATTAAAAAAGAAAATTATGATTCATGTTTCAAAAATAAATTCGAAAATTTAATTATATATTAAAAAAGTTATAACATCTTATAAATGTGTTCAAAATATGATATCATTTAATTTCAAATTATCTTAAAGAATTTTTATTAAATTTTAGTACTTAAATATCATAAATAACTTTTAAATTTTTTTATTAATTTAATAAAATTTTTAAAAATATTTTTTTATCTCAGAGCATTCAAAAATCTCATTTATTTTCTTAAAAAAATTTCATCATCAAGAAAAAAACTTAACCCTTTATTTGTTAAATTTTGCTTTATCGAAAATATATCTAAATTTGTTACCTTTTGGATCAAATTTAAAAATATTTTTTTCATTTAAAAATTTTTTAGTAAATCATCTTTTAGTTTTATTTCTAATTTTTATTGTACTAAAAATATATTTAAAATGTTCACAATTATTTTTTAGAAATATATTTTTTAAAATCCATTATAAAGCTTTATTCATCATTTATTTCTTAATTTTTAGAATGAAAATAAAATATCAATTATTTTTTAAAAATCTCATCTAAATTCTTCTATCATTTGTGTTAAATTTAAAAAAGATTTTTACATAAGAATCTCCTAAAAAATCAACCATTTGTGATTTGCATGAGATTTTATCATTGGATAATTATCATATATTTTCAAACAAATTTATAAGTAATTTTTTATTTGATTTGGAAATGAATGTAACTATTTTCTTGTTGAAATTTCGTCTAAATTATTCTATCATTCATTTTAAATTTAGATAAATTTTTTATCTAAAAAATCTTATCATCAAATAATTGTTAACTTATTTCAAAATTTTATGAAGTTTATTTATACATATTTTTATTTTTTGAAAATAAATATAAATTATTATTATTAAAATTTATCTAAATTTTATCTTCATTTGAATCAAATTTAAAAAAATCTCGCACCTAAAAATTTCTTTAAAAAATTATCTATTTGTAACTTTTAAGAATTTTATCTTTAAATAATTATGATTTATTTTCAAAATCTTATTAAAGTTTTTGTTTTAACCTTTATTATATTTTTTATAATTTAGAATAATTTCCCTTAATAATTTTTTTAAAATTTAATCATGCAAGATATGTCAAAATAAATAAATGAAATAAAATAATAAATATGAAAACAAAGGAATAAATAAAACCATAAAAAAATTAAATTAAATTAAATGAAAAAAAAAAGAGAAAAATCTATGAAATAGGTCGAGTTGAAAACAAGTCGGCGTCCGACAGTCAATGCGCGAATCTTGAAATTTTCTAAAGAGTAAAACGATGTCGTTTGGGCAGTGAATTAAATGACCCAAAATCGTTTTTTTTCTTTAGCTTTCCTTCTCTCTTTCCTCTCTCTTATGCTTCTCTCGACTCTTTAAAAAATTCAGGCATCGGTGATGACAAGTTCCAACATGACCTGGAAATTGATGTCAAAAATTTAAGAAGCCGCTGCAGAATTCAAATATCGCTGAAAAGTCAACAAAAACTACAAATTTCACTAAAAAATTTGTCGAAAAATTTAAAATTTCACCCAAAAATTCATGCTTTTTTCCTAATTTTTCAAAAATTTTCATAAGAAAAACCATAAATTCAATTTGAAGTTTTTGGACCTCCTTAATCTTTTAATAACTTTGTCTCCTTTAAATTTGAACTAAATCAAGCTTCAAAAAAATCAATTCCCCAAAAACAAAATAAATCTATTCCAATAAAAACTTTACTGTCAGAAAAGTTTTTTTTCTGCTCTATGTGCCAATTGTTTCCGCTTGTCGTGTGATCATTGTGATGAATTCTTAGCTTATTTATAGGAGCAAATCAATAATGATTTTAACAAATTTAAAAATTGAATTATCATTAAAATTAGAATTTATCACAAAAACAAACCTTAATACCAATCTCAAGCTCTCCTATTTTGATAAGCTTAATATCCGAATCTCTTTTTAAATTTCTTAAGACCTTCAATTTTTTTTCCACTTTTTTTAGAAATATATATAAAGAAATAAATAAACTAAGACAATAAAATTAAAAATGAAATTAAGATAAAGAAAATAAGATAAAGGTGAAATAAAGATAAATGAATAAAAGACATAAAAAATATAAATATAAATATAAACTATGAAATAATAATAAATATATTTAAAAATATGAAGATAAAAATAAAATAAAATATAACAATTGAACCTTTGGGCTTGATCTTACATTGAGTCTAAAAAATTTAGATCCCGAACTAAATGTAATGTCTATACTAAGGTATTTTTTTTATAATTGATAATATCATCGTTAAATTATGATTTTTAGAATTAAATCATAAATATTTTATTAATAAATTATATTATTATTGACATATTTAAATCTCTAAAATTAAAAAAATTATATTTTATTAATAAATCACATATTACAATGTTTAATATTCATGAGAAAATATTGATTAGAATCTTGGAAAAGTGTTGTTTTATTTTCTCAAAAAAAATAATTTTTTCATCATCACTCATTAAAGAATCAGGATCTCTTGATTTAATGATTAAGAAAGTTTCATGAGGATACCTTGGTTTTGAATCGAGATCTCTTCTCCCTTTTCTTTCTTGTAAGAATTATACTCTCTCCTAAATAAATAAATAAATAAATATATATATATATTAACATATATTTGTGGAAATTTGGTGTCGATAGAAAAGTTACATTTGTACAGGAAAATTTGTTTTTTCGCCGATTCAAATCTTAAGAATGTGAACACATTCCACTACCAAAGGCTACCTGAAATGAATGTATTATTTATTTAAAAAGTCGAATAATTCAAAATTTTTTGTTTAAAATATAGTTTTTTGAGGAATATATTAAAGGTTGACATGGTCCGTGATAAAATCCAATTGCGTATGGAAAGTGCAAGTGATCTCATAAAGTTAAAGTGTGTCCCTCACATTTACTTGCGGTCCCCTTTGAGAGTTTTCGAAGTAAGTCAAGCAGATACTTGATAATTACTCAACCATATCCATTGCATTTCGATTAATCTTATCTGTTCCAAAATTAACTGTTGTTTGGTAGGAAAGAAGGATTTTTTTTTTTTAATTTATCACAAAAAAAAAAAGTGATGAAATAAATCATCAAGTTTCTCACATCCAAGTGATCAGACCTTTAAATCATGTCATTTTTTTTAACAGTGTTAATAGGGTAATAATAATTTTTTTTATGTTCTGTTTCAAATTAAGTATTAATTACATTTTAATTGAATATTAATTTAAATGATATGTATGTTGGTTAGACTTTTAAAAAAATCATTATAGATTCGAAAGAACTTAAGTATATTATATTTTACTCAAGTGAATTAATTAAATAAAAGTTAGGCCTATTGGTATCAAAGGAATTATTCCTGAACGTAAAGGTTGTGTTTTACTCATCTTTTCTAAAAAAAAAAAAAAAATTGGACTTGTAGATTCAAACCTGGTGAACTCTTTGTTGTTTTTAAGATCTCTTCGTTGTGGATGAAGCCAAGTTAAATCCGTTGCAGACAATTTCATATAGTAATTAACAAGAACGAAGGGAGACCACTTAAAGGGAAAGTGTGGAAAACCCACATGCCAATGATACTTTTGCGAATCTGACAGGAAACTGAGCAGAACTTTCAGTCTGCTTCGATCTTTGTCTGTTTTTGACTTGGTAAAGTAGGGACATTGCTTTGTTAATTTCCTTCATGACCCCTTTAATACTTTAGCAGCCACCTGTTCAAAAATAGGTGCATTAATATCAAGCTGACAAATTCATATAATCAAGCCAGCTATCATCAAAGCTGTAAATGGATTTGTAAATATAATTGCAGAGAAAATCACTGTCATACTATATATTGATAGAGGAAATGTGACGGTCAGGGAGACGTAAAGGAGGAAAAAAAAAAAAGACTTAAAAACAGAAATCCGCCGAATATTGACTTTCTCTAAGATGGAAATTTAGGTTGGCATGCATGCATCGACATGGCGACAGAGCGAGTCACGGAAGCAAGCAATTGGGCAGAAAATTAAACAAAAGTTTATCTGCCACGTTGACTCCTTATCAGACGGAAATTCCATGCATTCTTATCTGCATGGATTTCTGAATAGCATTGGAGTTCATGGAAACGGAAATATTAAAGTGTAGCATAAATAATGAGATTGTTCATTTATATTCATTTATCATGAATTTAAATTAAAAAATTTTAATCCTGATAATCTTAATTACAAAATAAACAAAAAAGAGTCCAAACTTAACTACATAATTTCCTTTTTTAGAAAGAATTAAAGTTTTTTTTTTTCCACTACCTCTTGTCTTTATGTATATCCCAAATGTATATATTTTGAGAAATTAAACAGAATGAGAAAAAAATAAATAAAGTGAAGGAAAGATAGAAGAGGAGATTTTTTTCGTCTTATTTTCTCAAGAATTTGGATTTTTAAATTTCTTTACTTCATTTCTTTTTCTATCTATTTTCTCAAAACCTAAATGAGAGAAATTTCTATTAATAATAATAAAAAAGAAAATTTATCTTTTTATAAAAAAAGATATTGGAATTTCCAAGTAAAAACATATTCAAACCAAGATGAACACAAAATAAATTACACTTAAAAGAGATAATATTTAATGTGATTTAGCCCAAATTATTTACAGTCATGGATGACAAAGAAAAATCCAATATAAATATATAAAGATTAAAAAAAGTATAAAATATAAAAAATATTAATCCCGAACCTTAAAATGATCGTTTTTAACGAAAACATGTGAAATACTTTTTACCCTATATAATCCCATGTTTTTCAACTCTTTTTCAAATCCTTCAAATTCATTTCCCACATAAAATTTACATAATAATTACAAATCTTATAATTTTAAAAGTTAAAAGCTACTCTATATTTATAGAGCCTATTAATTAATCATAAAAAAAATTCTTATTTACTATTCATTAAATATATTTACCGTTTAAACAAATTTAATTCCTAAATAATTCTACAACCAAGATAATTTTTCCGGAATCCAAATTGATTTTTAATTAGAAATTGATTCTCAATCTAAAAAAAGACAAAGTATTAGCATCAATCTAGCTTAGCAGCTGTACTCAACGTTAGTCCAGATGTAAACCCTATGGAGCAGCTACAGCTAGCGGTGCGCCACCATCAGCGCCTCGGATCGATATAACAGTCCCACACGCTCTAGCTAGCGAGGGCAAGAAATAATATGGCGGGTTTCTATTAGAGTAATTCCACAAAATCGATTTAATTTTATATTATTTGAAAAAGAGATCAAAACCGAATTTAAAGAGTGACAATACGAGTCTAATGAAGTAATAAATTTTAAATTCGATGACATTATATTGAGTTAGTACATGTATAATTAAATTTTATATAAAAGTTTATGTTTGTTTTCTTCCAAGTAATTAAAATTTAAATTTAGATTTAAGATTTTGGAGTTAGATCTTGAGACGAGGAATGTAAAATTCATCAGATGCAAGATTGTTATCTTGTTTAATATTATATAAACACTATGTTTTGATAAGTTTTCAGGACATAATATGTTAATAAAGTATAACTGTTCATGTAATCCTAATTGATATCCCCATAAAAAAGGAAGAAAAAGAAAAACGTGATACTTGTATAGTTTATTCATAGGGCGATGAGCTTTTAGTTTTAATAATTATGATTTAAATTTTGATAATTTTAAATAAAAAAAAGCGTTATGCATGAATCAAATACAAAACACTCTTTCACCAAATTATTACTATGTCATGTGGAAGTGGAAGCTACTGCCGAAGCTCACTTGAATATAACGGCAGAGAAAGAACTTTTTTTCTCATGCTCCATTACAATAGCTAGCCCTTGCCCATGACTGTAGTATTGACTCGGTCGTTCCTTTTTCCTTACCGAACAAAGTAATCAGTTGAGTCTCTTGGTTGGTTGACTTCTAAACGCTATTTACCATAACATCAAAGAAACATCCAGCGTTTAAATTTCTCAGCACCCATTTTCCATCTCACTCTCACTTATTCTACCACGAAGCTGCGCTCTCGCTGGATATTCTAGTCTCCTCTAAATTTCCAGCTGCCTCATTAGAAATATATATACCCTTCATTATATTCCAGGATATAAGTTATAAATTCAAATTGTCAAACCTCAACACAAATTCATCTAATTTCTCATTTCATTTTTCTCTTCCTTTTAAAAATTTCCATTATGTTGGTTAACAGTCAACAGCAGTTCAGTTTAGAGATGACAGTGGTATCAGCTCAAGGGTTGAAGAACACCTCTTCTTGTCTCTTCTCCCACCGTCTCAGGCCATTCATCAGCATCACCACGTTCCCGCCCCACCCCCCTGCATGCAACGCTACTGATCATAAGTTCCGCCGCGTGTTTCAAACGAGGGTCGACGATCAAGGCGGTGTGAACCCTACTTGGGGGGACAAGTTCTACGTTCCAATTGATGATACCTTCTTTGCCAATCGATATTCTTGTATTTATCTCCAGTTATTCACCAAAAGACTCATTGCAGGCCAGGCTCAATTGGGTTGGTGCCAGATTCCTGCCGCCGACATGGGGCTCCCTCCGGTGGGCTCAGTCAGGCAACTAAGCTACCGGCTTAGGGCTGCAGATGGTACAAGGACACAGGGGGTTATCAATGTTGCGGTAAAGTTGGAAGGTCCTCTTCGTGCTAATGACACATGTCAGACCGTGGTAGGTATACCCTTGACCGTTATGCCACGTGTCTGGAGATAGGTGTTAGTTGTAAAAAAGCAGAGAATCTAACGAGTGTGGAAGAGGTGGGGCCGGATGATCGAGCCAATCGAATGGTGTGACGAGGCACGTTTATGGGGGACTACAATGAGATCGGCTGTACTGTATTGATTTTAGATGTTGTAAAATTGTGGATAGAGGCAATTAAATTGTTTTTGCAGGACGAAAACCATTTCAAAGAGTTCAATCATTGTTGTTTAAGAGTTTAACACTTGTCTTGATTCTCAACCTCAAGGGAAAGGATTTTATTATTATTTTTCCTGAGAATCGACCTAGCTAGTTGACCTGATTGATGAGCCAGGATTCGTTTTTTCAAAAGTTTTTGCCCTCCATCCAAAATATATACTGTTTTTGTTTTCTTATTTTTCCTTCAATTTCTTTAAAACAGAACCAGTAAAAGTTTGCATTGTGATTTGTAATCGTGTATAAATTGGAAAGCAGTATAAATGTTAACTTTGGTTTGTTCTATACGAGTTGCTAATTTCTGCCATCAAAATTCCTTATTTTTCCTTTTTATAAAAAAATGGAGTTAAAAAATCGAATCTAATGGTGTCTCTATTATCTAATCAAACTTTATCTCACTCCTACACTTGAGTTAAGCACAAGCATGAGTGACATATATTAGTAAGTTTTCTCTAACACTTAGAAACTAAAATCACTATTCAACCCATCCATGGATCAAATTATAGATTTCGAATCTAATAAAATGCATTAGAGTATAAGAGGAACCTGCCTCAGTATTAAAAGCTCATGCCATTTATAATAAACATAATAATAAAATGCATTGGAGAACAATAGGTATATGCTATTTTATTGTAGCAATAGTTAAGGGAAGGGGTTGAGCCTTTCCAATTAGATCTTTGAAATATATATATTTCATTTTAAAGACAGTGAAAATGATTACACAAGCTAAATAAAGCTTTGTGAAATATGAATCATCATCCATGCATCTCAATCAATGGGAAAGTGTTTTCCTTTTACACTAAGAATGCCCACAATTTCACTTTAATGGCAATTCCATGTATAATAATTCAGTTTCTAACTAATTAATTAAAAAACGAAATGACATTACTATCAAGGCAAGTGATTTAATTAATTAGTGCTTGCTTGATTTTGATCAATATTACTTAGAGAAAATCAAAACACAAATTAAACTAGCAATCTTTAGCTGCTGCACGGTACCATCTCATTGACATATGGTTCGTTTGAATGGCTGAGAAAGAATTTTTAACGCACCATCACTTATTTTATCAATGGACTAATAGCCATTCATCCAAAGCCAGTACAGATTTCCTTCATCGATAGTACTGCAGGGCTTTCAACTATATATGTCATGTGCCAAACACTCAGAAATGGGCCAACATCAGATCCCTTGATTGCAATTTCATTATTCCTTTGAAAATCCAAACTTCAAATATTATATATTCTTATAGAATCTTATCCATGATTTATGGGATTCATGTGTGATGCATTTGTTCTGAAAAATTATTATAATAAATAAAATGAACCCATGATTTTGGGAACATGAGAAGGAACTTTCCCTCTGGTACTCCACGTCCAATTACAAAAAGTAAAACAACAATTTTTTCCAAATCCCTTTCCGACACTTCCATCTCTTGTCGACAACACATTCCCCACTCAAACGAAAATGGTAAAGAAGGAAAAACGTTTATGCTACTAGAAAAGTTGGTTGGTGTCACGACCCAAAATTGAAATGCAATTTTAAAGTATAATTTTAAAATAATATGAAGTTTTTTTTTTAATCATTTTAAATTATTTCAATAAAATAATATGTTAAGTAAAATCTGTTTTTTTAATCTAACTAAAGATAAATTTTTGTATACCTAAATGTAAACTAATAAAAATATAAAACTATTTTGTAATATCTTAGTAGCAACAATGTCTCTAATGACTAAGTAATTTTTTCTTGTTTGATTTTTTAGCTCCTCACAAGACTAAATAAACTTATTACTTACTCATCTGTAAAGAAATAGCAAAAAGAGAATGAACAAGCCACAGTCTAGAAAGTATAAGCTTACACACCTTACTAGATTAGGTATCGTTTTCATATATATATATATATATATATATATATATATATAGCTCATTTAAAACATCATTTAATTTATGCTTTCAAAACATTTAACTAGGCATTCAAAGAATTGATATCATAGCAAAGCATTTTATCAATTACAAATCATAAATCATATAGTTAAATACTTACTTCATACAAAACATAGATCAATCTTCAAAATCGTAAATTCATTATCATAAATCATCATTATCATTAGTTCATCATTAGCTATGG